AAATAGCATGCAATGGCAAGGCAATAAGAAAGCAAGAAGCAAAGAGTGCAGCACCAACGTGAGCAAAAAAAGAGGGCTCCGGGGAAAGGGAAAAAAAAGAGAGGTGAGAGCTAGGCATTAAGCTTAGGTGTGAGTGTGCTCCATAGAGAGAGTACATTGAGTGAAAAATTGTGAGTTTATCAGGATTGTGATCATATCCTGGGGGAGTGGGAAACACCAAGAGAGAGAAAAATACTTGAGTGTATACTCTGTACAATTTTATCATATAGTGGAATACCCTTCGGAATTTGTCCCGTGATTTTTTCCCTCAATAGTTTTTTGGAGGTTTTTCCACGTAAAATTTGGTGTTATTTTGCTTGTTTATTTTCCCGCTTAAATGGCTGGTTGAACTGCCCATTTTATTTATATTTCTTAAGTGGCAGGTTAAACTGCCTATTTTATTTTGCTTGGTCAGCTAAGTCGCCTTTTTCATTAACTATTAATATTGGTCGGCTAAGCCGCCTGTTTCACCGTTCTTTGTTATTGTTCACGTGTTTTATTCACATGAATTATTTTATTTCGCTGCGCCATTTTTCCCAACAACTGGTATTAGAGCTAGGCGCTGCTAATATTCACGTGAACAATGGAGGTGAACCAGAGCAAAATGATCACGCTGAATAGTTCAAACTATCAGCTGTGGAAAGGGAAAATGGAGGACCTTCTTTATGTGAAGGAATTTCATGAGCCTATCTTTTCAGAACAAAAGCCAGACAACATGAAGGATGAAGAATGGTGGCTACTCTATAGGTGAGTGTGTGGATTTATCCGGCAATGGATTGATGATAGTGTGCTTAATCATATCAATGATGAAACTAATGCACGCACACTATGGACAAAGCTAGACCAGCTTTTCCAAGCAAAGACTGAGCAAAATAAATTGTGCCATATAAAGAAATTGATGTACTCAAGGCACAAAGATGGCACTCCCACAGCAGACCATGTTAATGATTTCCTTGGCATCATCAAGGAGTTAGCTAATTTGGGCATAAACTTTGATGATGAAGTGAATGGTCTGATTCTTCTCAACACCTTGTCGGAATCATGGGAGAGTTTTAGATCAACAACAATCAACTTATCTCCTGGTGGTCAAGCCACACTGGAAATTGCCAAAAACAAGATATTTGAAGAGGAAAAAAGGATGCGGGCATTGGGAGTCTTCTCGCAACCAAATACTCAAGCTCTTGTCACGGAGAATAGAGGCAGGAGTAAAACCAGAGAACCCAGAGGACGAGGAGGCAGATCCAGATCAAAGTCCAAAAGTGGAGTGAAATGCTATCATTGTGGCCAACTAGGCCACATGAAAAGGAATTGCTACTTGTTGAAAGGAAAAGACAAGAAAAGGGTTGAAGATAGCAATACAACCGCTGTAGCATCTACCAATGGCGATGACGTGACTCTACTATGTGATCGTGGGGAGTGCTTCCATGTAGAAAACTCAGATACTAAGTGGATAATTGATTCTGGTGCCTCTTATCATTGTGTTCCCAAAAGGGAATATTTTTCAACATACAAAGTAGGAGACTTTGGCACCATAAAAATGGGAAACAAGAGTGTTTCTCATATTATGGGAGTTGGTGATATCTGTGTCCAGACAAATGTTGGATGCACATTAACACTGAAAAATGTGCGACATGTTCCCGATATGCGTATGAATCTGTTGTCTGCAAAAGCACTGGATGAAGAAGGATACACACACTATTTCGGGAATGGTAGCTGGAAACTCACTAAAGGATCATTGGTGGTGGCAAAAGGAAGAGCATGTTGCTCATTATACAAGACACACATGAAAATGTGTGGAGGTCAATTGAACGCAGTTGAAGATGAGGCTTCTCCAAATTTATGGCATAAAAGATTAGCTCACATGAGTGAGAAAGGATTGCAACTTTTGGCTAAGCAGTCCCTTGTTCCCATTGCCAAAGGTGGACATGTGAATCCTTGTGATGTTTGCTTATTTGGAAAGCAACACCAAGTTTCTTTTCAAAAGAATTTGACTCGGAAGGAGAACAAGCTAGACTTGGTCTACTCTGACGTTTGTGGTCCCTTAGAGGTAGAGTCGTTTGGTGGCAATAAATATTTTGTTACCTTTATTGATGATGCAACTCGAAAGACTTGGGTATACTTGTTGCAGAATAAAAGCCAAGTTTTCAAGTATTTCCAGCATTACCATGCTATGGTGGAAAGGGAGACATTGTTGAAGTTGAAATGTCTCCATACAGATAATGGAGGGGAGTACACCTCCAAAGAATTCAGAGACTATTGTTCCAAGTATGGCATGAGGCATGAGAAGACAGTTCTTGGCACTCCACAACACAACGGTGTTGCAGAACGGATGAACCGTACCATTGTGGAGAAAGTTCGATGCATGCTAAGAATGGCAACTCTACCTAAGCCATTCTGGGGTGAAGCAATCAACACAGTAGTTTATTTGATCAACCGGTCACCTTCAGTTCCTTTGAATTTTGAAATCCCAGAGAAAGTTTAGACGGGAAAGGATGTTGGATACTCTCACTTGAGAGTGTTTGGGTGCAAAGCATTTATGCACGTGCCAAAGGAACAGAGATCAAAGCTGGATGATAAAACTATTCCATGCATTTTTGTTGGGTATGGTGATGAGGAGTTTGGCTACAGACTATGGGACCCAGAAAAGAAGAAAATTGTCAAAAGTAGAGATGTCGTGTTTCATGAACACGAGAAAATTAATGATTTGAAGGAGGACAAAGCTACAGGAAGCTCTGGAGAGGGTGTAGAAGATTTAACACCGGCAAAAACTCCTTCAAGAAAAATTACAAATGAAGAAGAGGTGCAAGCACCAGAAGATGAGATAGAGAAGCCAACAATTGAAGAAGATGAAGCAAGTGTAGATGGGGGAAATGATAAGCAAGGGGAGCAACCCCTGCCACAAGAGGAAGAACCTCAGTTGAGAAGGTCCACCAGAGAGCATAAAGCATCTGCAAGATACTCCAGTTCTGATTATATCTTGATCTCTGAAGAGGGGGAGCCAGAGAACTTCCAAGAGGTGCAGTCTCACAAAGATAAAAACTGCTGGATGAAGGCTATGCAGGAAGAAATGAACTCCCTACATAAAAACAATACTTATGAGCTTGTGGAACTTTCCAAAGGAAGAAAAACCCTGAAGAACAAATGGGTGTTCAAGCTCAAGAAAGATGGTGACAAGATAGTTAGATATAAGGCTTGGCTGGTGGTAAAAGGCTTTAGTCAAAAAAGGGGGATTGATTTTAATGAAATATTTTCCCCAGTGGTGAAGATGAGCTCAATTCGAGTTGTGCTCGGTCTAGCAGCAAGCATGAATCTTGAGCTTGAGGAGTTAGATGTAAAAACTGCATTTCTTCATGGTGACTTGCATGAGGAAATTTATATGGATTAGCCAGAAGGTTTTGAAGAACAAGGGAAGAAGCATATGGTTTGCAAATTGAAGAAGAGCTTGTATGGACTAAAGCAAGCTCCAAGACAATGGTATAAGAAGTTTGACTCTTTTATGATGAGTCATGGTTACCAAAGAGCAAATGCAGATCCATGTGTCTACATCAGATTATTCCTTGATGGCAACTTCATTATCCTTTTGTTATATGTTGATGATATGCTGATTTTGGGACAAGATGTTGAGAAAATTTGCAGGTTAAAAGAGGAGTTATCAAAGTCCTTTGACATGAAGGACTTGGGACCAACAAAGCAAATTCTGGGTATTGCTATTACCCGTGATAGAGAGGCTCGGAAGTTGTGGTTATCACAGGAGAAGTATGTTGAACGGATGCTTGAAAGGTTCAACATGAAACATGTTAAGCCAGTTAGCACTCCTCTTGCAAATCACTTCAAGCTGAGTAAACGATCTTGTCCAACTACCAAAGAAGAAAAGGTGAAAATGTCATCTATTCCTTATTCTTCTGCAATCGGTTCACTGATGTATGCAATGGTATGTACACGGCCAGACAATGCTCATGTTGTTGGTGTTGTGAGTAGATTCTTGTCTGATCTAGGCAAGATTCATTGGGAAGCTATTAAGTGGGTCTTCAAATATCTGAGAGGTACCACCAAGTTGTGTTTGACTTTTGGGCAAACTGAACCAATTTTGAAGGGATACAGAGATGCAGACATGGCAGGTGACCTTGATAATAGAAAATCTATTTCAGGGTATTTATTCACTTTTGCTGGGGGAGCTGTATCATGGCAATCAAAATTGCAGAAGTGTGTTGCCTTGTCAACAACCGAAGCTGAATACATTGCAGCTACAGAAGTTGGTAAAGAGATGCTTTGGATGAAAAGATTCCTTCAAGAATTGGGATTAAAGCAAAAAGAGTATGTAGTATTTTGTGATAGCCAGAGTGCTATAGATTTGAGCAAGAATACTATGTACCATGCTCGAACAAAACATATAGATCTGAGATATCACTGGTTGCGATTGGTGACAGAGAACAAGCAATTTCAACTCAGAAAGATTCACACAAACAACAATGTTGCTGATATGATGACAAAAGTTCTTCCCAGGGAAAAGTTTGAATATTGCACGAAGTCGGCCGGGATGGACTCCAAGTAAGGAGTCAGGATTTATATCTCCTCCCATGGGGTTGGAGGGGGAGATTGTTGGCGGAAATTTCCAGCCCATGTGAACACAATGACTTCCATGTGGTAAAATCTTCATACCCTATAGTAAAAGGCTGCACCTATGGCAGCTCTTGTTGAATGTTTGCATGGTAAATTCAACTATTGCATTTAATGAGGGAAGAAAATCATGCATGGGTGGTTGGGTTCTTTCCCTATAAATAGCATGCAATGGCAAGGCAATAAGAAAGCAAGAAGCAAAGAGT